TAATTTATTTTATTAGGGCTAGATGTAACCTAATTAATTTAGTATAAATTTTGTGATTTTTATACTTTCAATTAAAGTTATTTGTGTGATGAGTTTATATTATTGAATTTAATGCATTGAAATCTTAGTTACCTTTTAATTGATTTAGTGATTTATACATCAACTTGAGAAAGAATTGCATAGATTAGGCCAACAATAATATAAACCGTGTTAGACTATGAGACTGAAAAGTAATACTAAGAAGTAATTAACGTCACATATGATAGTGGAGGAAGAGAAGAGAGTTAGGAGCTCCCTCTTCTTAAGTTAAAGGTTTTCATAGAATTTAATGTTCACCTATTTATTTAAAATGACATAAAAATATGATTAATTTGACAAGTAAGGGAAGGATTAATATGATTTGAGAAAATTAATTAATTAATTTAGGAAAATTAACCATCACATACAATAATACTTAACAAATTGGTTTTGCAAGCATATTAATCTAGAATTTATATTGATTGATTATGATGAAATAAATGTCTTAGTACTTCATATTTTGATTAGTTTTATTTTAATTGTTATTTTTTTATTATTTAATTAAAATTTATTCCTTTTCGATTGTTCAAATAAACATAGATTAATTACTTTGGTACTTAGTGACACTCTTCTTATCACTATATTATTTGGAGCAATTAGTACATTTGTTAAAGTGATTTTAGCACATCAAGTTTTCGGCACTGTTGCCAAGGATTGTTGATTTAGTTAATATTGAAGTTGGTTAATTTTAGATTTAATTTGAATGTTTTCCTTTCTTTTATTTCTTTACTTTGATTTTTTTTGTTTCTTTTGTTTTTATTTTTGTTGGTCTACCATGGATCAAGTTGTCATAAACATTGATGTGAATTATTAATGTCTTATTCTAGAGTTAAAGGGCACAAATTAAAACAATAACTATCAATTGGGAAGCAGAACTTGATGATGATGAACTTGAACGATTTCAAGCAGTTATTGAAAAGTTCAAATTAAAGAAGGCTATAATCAAACAATTTAATATTACTTGATGTGTGAATTAGAGCATTTTAGTTCCGATTGTTATTTTAAACCATTTAACAAACATGATAATTTTTCTTGTGATTTTTATAGCCAGCAGTGTAATTCTTATTCCAATACATACAACTTTAATTGGATAAATTATCCAAACTCATGAAATAATGAAGATATATTGGAGTCAAAATCAAGGTTTCAAGCTCAAGAAGAGGCATTTGAATAAAAATCTAGAAGTTCAATCAAGTTATTTGCTCAACTTAGTTGCTGAATAAATATAAAGTGAGTTACCTGGTGCAACAATGAAAAATCAAGAAAAAGAGGTAAACACTAAACCTTTGAGATTAAAGGACAACTTGGAGAAGTGGAAAGCATACCTATAAAAACTAAACATGAGGATGTCCCTAAGGAAGAATAGGAAAAAGCTCAAGTATATCATCTGAAATGTTCAATGGGA